CCACAGATGTTCCTTACACTGTCACTGCAGGTTTGTGCTGTTATCTAACTTTATTACACTTAATGGAACAAGTGATCCATGAGGAAAATGTGTTGAGGTTCGGTTCACCGGACAAAATTACCCCATTTGTTAAATCTGAGGTGTCTAAAGCAAACAAATGCCTGCGACTGATCCTTTAGGGTTTGCATTAAAGAACGCCAAAATATGCTACAGTGCGATTTTGTGCTTTGTGTCTCGTAAACCGGCACAAAATCCAAATCGGCGATGGTCAATGACCTTGGAATTTCGCTCACTTAAACAAAGTGCTACGTGCAACATGTCAAGGGAAGGTGCTAATTGATTAGACTAAATCCACATTAAAGTAGCAACTTCGGAAACCCTATAGTTTCGGCGAACTCAATTTGGGTGTGTCAATAGCCTGTGGCGATGAGACAAGGTACGATCGTTGGGATTTGAAATTGGCGGGCATAAACAATACGAGGGAAGCATGCCAAGAGGCATTTTGCTTGGTGCGTCATCAAAAACTTCAAACTGCAGAAAATGTGGAACGAGGATAACGGATCTGAGGAGACAGTAGAGCTTTCAGAATCTGACCAACCAGTTTGAACTGAAGCCTAGAACCATCACTGCGGCTCCGTCGCCTTCGGCTGTTGGACATACGGCCTGGATCGCGAAAAAACTTTAGTCGAGATATTAAAATGTAGGAATATGTAGTGCGGATGAATCATCATCATTATCAGCTGTAATAACCGCGTACTGGTCGTACACTGGTTGTAGATGCCACAGTTTCGTTCACCGATGATTGGGGGGTTAGTAGCTGCGCATTGCACGCGCGAGCTGGTAAATTGGTGCATAAATCCAGCACTGTCAGTGAGTTGTCAAGCGGGCGGGGGTGGAAAAGGAGCTATGCATTGAAGACAATAGCTTGGATGCACGAGCGCCACTGAGGGCGCGAGTGGGCCATGTCTGATAATGTCTCTAGCCATTGATGTGGCCCGTCTCGGGGTCCCCATCCAGGAAGACGGCAGTGACCAGCGCAGCTGAGTTTGCTGGTAATGGCCTTCATACACAGATGTTCCTTACACTGTCACTGCAGGTTTGTGCTGTTATCTAACTTTATTACACTTAATGGAACAAGTGATCCATGAGGAAAATGTGTTGTGAGCAGGTTCGCCGAACAAAAATACCCCATTTGTTAAATCTGAGGTGTCTAAAGCAAACAAACGCCTGCGACTGATCCTTTAGGGTGACATTTGCATTAAATACTCTTAATATGTCATTTTTATTCTTCAGGCACGCCGAAGAACGCCAAAATATGCTACAGTGCGATTTTGTGCTTTATGTCTCGTAAACCGGCAGAAAATCCAAATCGGCGATGGTCAACGACCTTGGAATTTCGCTCACTTAAACAAAGTGCTACGTGCAACATGTCACGGGAAGGTGCTAATTGATTAGACTAACTCCCCATTAAATTAGCAACTTCGGAAACCCTATAGTTTCGGCGAACTCAATTTGGGTGTGTCAATAGCCTGTGGCGATGAGACAAGGTACGATCGTTGGGATTTGAAATTGGCGGGCATAAACAATACGAGGGAAGCATGCCAAGAGGCATTTTGCTTGGTGCGTCATCAAAAACTTCAAACTGCAGAAAATGTGGAACGAGGATAACGGATCTGAGGAGACAGTAGAGCTTTCAGAATCTGACCAACCAGTTTGAACTGAAGCCTAGAACCATCACTGCGGCTCCGTCGCCTTCGGCTGTTAGACATACGGCCTGGATCGCAAAAAAACTTTAGTTGAGATATTAAAATGTAGGAATATGTAGTGCGGATGAATCAACATCATCATTATCAGCTCTAATAACCGCGTACTGGTCGTACACTGGTTGTAGCTGCCACAGTTTCGTTCACCGATGATTGAGGGGTAAGTAGCTGCGCATTGCACCCCCGAGCTGGTAAATTGGTGCATAAATCCAGCACTGTCAGTGAGTTGTCAAGAGGGCGGGGGTGGAAAAGGAGCTATGCATTGAAGGCAATAGCTGGGATGCACGAGCGCCACTGAGGGCGCGACTGGGCCATGTCTGATAATGTCTCTAGCCATTGATGTGGCCCGTCTCGGGGTCCCCATCCAGGAAGACGGCAGTGACCAGCGCAGCTGAGTTTGCTGGTAATGGCCTTCATACTTCGCTGCCAAGTCATTGTTTGACCGCCTCTGGCTCTCTTCCACCCTTCACATGGTTGGGCGAAAAGAGCCCTTCGAGGAAGTCGGTCGACTGGCATACGCAGCACGTGGCCAAGCCAACGCAACCTGTGCAATGTGATCAGTTCATCTATCGAGGGTGAGTTATTCCTCCCAAATACCATTCGACGTACTTCAGAATTGCTGATCCGGTGTTCCCACCAGATTCGGGCAATGCTCCGAAGACATCGATGGTCAAACACTGAA